TACAGAAGCAAAGTAATTAACTACTCATGATTTGTCATTTTATTCAGCCATTATTTGTGACTAAAATTAATCTTTTCTTAGCCTATTAATGTTACACTGATGAATAACTATAATTATGACTGTGTAGGCGCTCTCCTCTGTGCGTGGGATGAGCCAGGAGGATGATAACCTGTCAGACTCGGGCCATAACTCCATGAGCAGCCTGCCGCCGTACCGGCCTCCCTTCCGCCCACACCTGGCTCACATCAGGTCTGCCTCAGCATTATTGTCTCAGCTCTGCTTTCTATTCAAAAGAACTGTTGCTATAATTGATTTTTTTTATACTTAATGAGTGTGTGGGCAGTGATGATGGACGAGATTTTAACAGTCTTTGTGGTTTCTTTTGGTACCATAGCGCATCTATGGGCCAAATCAACACCATCGGCTCCCTGGACCGCACCTCATTGGGCCCCAAGGCTGTAGGGTCAGGGGGCATGGCCATAGGGGAGATGGCGTGTCGGAGCATGGCAACCCTGAGCCGTCTGGCTCCATATGGAGGGGAGGCTCCACCTCCTTATGAATGGACACTCTCCCTGTCTGTTGAAGAAGTGGTGAGTACTTGGAAGATGGATGGGAGGATGAGCTGATCAGTATGATTTACAGATTGGTTAGTGAGTCATGTTGTCTTTTCTAGGTCCGGGATCTGGAGGAGCGCCTGGTGGAGAAAGAACATGAGCTAAAACAGATGAAAAGAAACCTGGATGAGAGTGAGGGCGCCATCGCTCAGGTGAATCTCATTGTATTTGTCTTTTCTTCACCATTAATCTTTACATCCATCTGCCTCTCTTTTGAAGTATAACCCCATCTGCTGTCCGCATGCAGGTGTTTGAAGGGAAACAGCGTCTGTGGGAGAAGGAGGTGGAAGAGCTGAAATGCCTGTATGCCGCCAAGCTGCGTCAGGTTTCCCAGCATGCCCAGCGCTCCCAGCGCAGCCTGCAGTTGCAGGTGTTCAAGGCCCAGCAGGAGAAGAGCCGGCTGCAAGAGGAGCTTGACAGTCTGAAAAGGGAAAGGAGCCAAGAGGCTGGAGTCATGGTAAAGCGAACCAGTCCGACTCTGGAGGAGACGCAGTGGGAGGTAAGGCCTTGGTAGGACAGGGGAGGGACACTTTGTGGAGCACTTAAAGAGTAGTAATTACAGGGGACAGTAGAGATAACAGAATTCCTTCATTGTTTGTCCTCTTAAAATTATAGGCCAGTAGAGTCTGTAAAAATGTTTCTCCTGCCACTATCCCTTATTTTATTATTCTTAAATCTCACAGGTTTGCCAGAAGTCAGGGGAGATCTCCTTGCTGAAGCAGCAGCTGAGGGACTCCCAGGCGGAAGTGACCCAGAAGCTGAGTGAGCTCTTTCAGCTGAAGACACAGCTCAGGGAGACCCGCACAGAGCTACGCAACAAGGAGGGCCAGTTAGATGCACTAAAGCTAGTCCTGCAGGGGACACAGCGTCGCAGATGCCCCTCTCAGACTGCACATGAGGATGGAAAAGGAGTTGAAGAGGGTGCTTCAGCTGGGACAACAGGTAATTTTATGCATCTGTCTCTTAGTTGTGTGTACATATTGTCACTAGAAATGTTTGAGTGCTATGACGGTTCAAAGGAATACACCTTACTTTAGTCATGCTGAGGATCCACAAGTACAGATAAGAGATGAAGTTCATTTGTTGACACAGCACTTAACCTAAAGTAAGTCTGAAAACACTTAAATATAACACAAAACATAAAATCTTGCAACGCCATAACAAGTATTTCAAACCTACGTAAGCCAGCACAGGCCAAGCTGACATGCATGGAGAAAAAAAAGCAAGATAATTATCTGCCACAGATATCTGTTTAACATTCTAACACATACATACAAGGAATGGACAGTTTACCTCGTGTGTAGTCTGATAAATGCACTTGCACTTTGAACTTATCCTAGCCATCCCTTGTGTATGGCTTCTAACACATCATACTTGTATTTCTACATTAGTTTTTTAAGTATGTAAATTAATTGTCTACATATACATCTGTTTGCACACTCACTTGCCTCAAATTGGGCCAAAGTATTTTGAATTGAATTTAATTTAATTGAGCAGCAACGGAGGCATCTAAACTGGGTTTTTTATCAACACAGCAGGATCTTGTCTGGGTTATTTTAAGTTATGATGTTTACATGCTTGGACCCAAAATCAGGTCATTTGACTAACCAGGTCAGGAGCAGAGTTCTCTGCACATTTAAAAGCAGCCAACATCTTTTATTGTATTTCCCCTATGGCTGTGTTGGACTGTAGTTAAAGCCTTGTGAACCTCTTCCTTACAGGAGGGTGTGGGGGCTCTACAGAGGAGCGTCTGCGTGCAGAGCTCCTGCTGGAGCGACGCCAGAGCGAGGCCCAGGCCATGTCTTTTGAGGAAGAAAGGCAGACATGGCAGACCGAAAAGGACAAGGTCATTCGCTACCAGAAGGAGCTGCAGGCCAGCTACTTAGAGATGTACCACCGCAATGAAGCGATGGAGAGGGAACTGCACCAGCTGAGGGCAGGCAGAGAGCAAGGAGGAGGAGCAGGAGGAGGAGTGGGAGGAGGGGGAGGAGGGAGCAGAAATGGGACATTGGAAAAAGAAGTGTCAGAGCTGAGGAGTGAGAGAGCGGGTGAAAAACCAGATGACAGACCTTCCTCTGGTTTGCCGTGGATAGAGAGAATTGAATCATCTGAAATTTGAATGTGACATTTGCAATGCAAACTCTGGTTTCCATGGAAGCCCACATCCACCAGGAAATGGAAAAAAAAATAGACTTGTTTTTTTCAGACTATGAAATAAGTAAATATTTGTACTTACTAAGACAAGATTTTAGAAAAGTAAGTTATTAAGAATTACAAAATGATGTGATAATAGTCAAATGTTGACTTACTATCTCAATAATTCTCCCATATTTTTTCTTTTCCTGGCAAAAATGGGCTTCCATAGGTTCCTGTCCATTTGCCATTTTCTGCCCACGCACTCTTGTTGATTGTTTAATGACCTTATCCTGTAAAGACTGGAACAGTAACCTCCCACAGGGTACACTAATACTGAGGGTAGCTAAACAGAAACACTGCCTGTGCTTCATCTATCCTTGGCAGAAGAGTTGTCAATTCTATAAAAAACACAGCCAAACACTTAGACTGTCCCACTTAAGATTTTTGCCCCCCCAATAAAACTGTAAATGAGTGAATTGAACTACTATTTTGTGTTTATTTGGTAGTTACTTTTTAGTTTGGACTGCTGTATAAGTCTTGACAGTAACCAAAGGATTCAAAGGGATTTAGTGTGGCCCATTAACATCTTAACACCTGTTCAGTCTTTGCAGAAGGTTATGTGGACTCAAGGGTCCACCTGGGCTCTGGGAGGAAAGCTTCATCTCTGGGTTAAGTATCAAGGATTAAAGCTATCTGTTGCTAAGGTACACAAGCAAACTGTCCGCTACTTAAGAAACTGGAAATGTTGAACTTAATTGTCATTCAGTTTCCAGCTCCTGTCAGGTGAGTTCTATATATTTTGTACGTATTGTAAGTTTGATTTTATTGGCCTTTTGTCATTGTATTCCAAGCACACTGTTGTCTTAAATGGGCATACTTCCACATCTTTTGATTGCAGTGAAAGTGATCAATAGATTAGGACGCTGAACATGACTGCCCTGCTTATTGGTGCAATTTGTTGCACATACCCAGCCAATAACATCAAATGCATGACGTAGGTGAAGTTGTTCTTGTATTGTTTATTAATATATGAACATTCAAAAGCCAGCTCTTAATCGACCTTTCAACATACTGTGACTCTTGTCTATTTACTGGAATTAAAACTGTACAGTATAAATATGTTTGTTTTGGATTCACAATAAACATTAATGACGTGGTGTGAAAGCTGTTTAGTTCGTGCTTGCTCCAATGGCATTTTCTGGGGTCAATCAAGTTTGCAAAATGTCTTTATATTAGGGTTTTGTCTGTCTGCAGTTGTCTGAATTAAACTCACCAGAAAGCACTTGTCAAAATGTTAGGAGGTGTAACTGATGGCATTCACCCGAGGGCTCAGGCGCCTGCTGCCTGCTCTGTGTTAATATCTCCACAGAGCGTGCCAATAAAACCCAAGGACAGGAGCTTTATAGCAGAATGAACAGAGCGGTGGAGGCTTTTGGGACTAATGTGGCTTTTAGAGGTTTAGCCTTCAATCCTTATCTCAGCCTATCCCTCAGGGCCCTCCCTGCTCTACCCGGTCCTCACATACCATCTCCTGCGGTACGGACGGCCGAGAGGTGGGAGGTCAGCGGAGATGGAAACATAGGAGGAACCTTGTTTGCTCAAGAAAATAAAGCATCAAAAGTACAAACTAGAACACAGTGCCAAAGATATCCTGGCAAGGATTACAGTTTAACACTTTTAGTTCATGTTATGTTTATGGGTATGCATAAGTGAGAATATATAATAGTGTGAAGCGAGAAACAGCACAGTAAGTCCATAACACAGCTTTATTTTTTACACAAGGTCGTAATCTAAATAGTTATGAGCTGTGGCTGACTCACAAGGCTCTTACCTTGGCATTTAAAATATTATATAAACTGGGGCTTAATATAACTGTACAGCTCAGGAGTGGTTCAATGAAGTGGGATGAAAAAAGATTCTTACCTCATGTTATCTCTCTGTAGGAGGGTTGCAGCACTGAATACCATCAGTGCTGTTTATCTGATGAATTAACATGATTATTAATCATTAGTGCATAATTAATGTGGAAAAAAATGGTTCCTCCTTTTGAAACTCAAATTAAAACCTCTTGCTTGAGATCTAATAGACTTCAAGGCTATTTAGTTTGAGTACTGATAATACAGAAATAGCTCCACCAAGTGGTGATGAAAGGAAAGCTGAGCAGCTCTAAAATCATGGAGAAAAATGATCAGTGAGCTATGGTAGGAGCAGTCCACTGCCACATGCCAGTACACGCCTCCAAAGCTGACGTGGAGTATAAATTTTTATTTTAATTTCAGATGCAAGTATATGAAACATGTTAGAGGATAAATATTTACAATAAAAGTTGCACACACAAAAGCAGGAAATGCAAACATTCAACAAAATTAATATGACAAAGGTACGGAGCGCTAGCAGTCTATCTGGTGGAACACTCGGAGAAGCAATGAATGATTGTCAACCAAAGAAAGAAAAAAAACAGGAAATTCAGTGAAAGTCCACACAAAATATGTGCTTTAACCCATTCCAAGTGAAACCAAGATAAAAATGTTTATGTTATACTCTGACTTAAAACTGAGTGTAATGTTGCATTGTCAGTGTTAGCTTTGCTGGTGCAGGGCTTGCTGAACAAATTAGCCTCACTAGAGTGTGAGGTGACATCACATTTTCAAGAGGACACCAGGAACTTGCACTATTAGTATTGATCATCTAAACATATTTTATGGTACATCCAAATGCCTCGGTACTCGGTGACACGCTTTCCCCAAGTTGAATCACCAGCTGAATAATATATACAAACTCCAACAACACCCAAACTATCAGCCTCAATAGCGGAAATATGTGTAATCTTTGTTCCTTATATAAATGTACACCTTTAATACTAACTGGGAAGTGTGGTATGAATTGTTATAATGAGCCCTGAGGAAATGTATGGATATCTATTCTGACTCGATCTCAAATAAAAGCAAAACCTATGCAGAGGCTTTTTTTTTTTTTCTAGGTATATATTAAACAACAGCCACAATGATCAGAGGACTTCCCCACCCACGACGAGTAAAGCTGAATCACAAGCCTACAGCCACTGCAAGTCAGACCATACGGCTACCATCACACCACTTTACATCTCCAAATCACATGGCGTGCAAGCATTAGGATACACAATGCAGGGGGCAGAGTGAGGCGATGGCACAACCGTGACGAGAACCGCCGAGTCGTTAGTTCTGAAAGTTTGCGCAGTAGTGTTGATTATGCATTTTGCTGTTCAGTTTAATTTACTATTTTACATGAGCCGTTGTGGCGGTTGCAATGAAAAATAGAAACAAAGCACATTTCACAGTAGTATATATTTTTTGTTTCCTTTTTGTCATTGTTTGTTAGATACATACATAGAACAAGACAAATGGCTTCTACAATGAGGGAAATCTTGCTGGTGCAGTCAGTCACAAAAAAAAAAAGAAAAAAGAAAAGCTGTTCCACCATTGATGAGTTAATTGTTCTACTTATCAAACGGATACGTCAGCCAACAGTGACTTTCAAGCTACGTGAGGCCTTTATTACATTATGGAGGAGTAATGGGGTCACAATCAAGAGTTCAATTCAAGATAGACCTCCACAGTTCCCTTCACCAGCAAATAATAAACCTTCAACACAGTTGTTTGTTACTCTGTGGTTTTTCTTGTGTATAATAGAAGTTTATTACCATCCAGAAATCAGAAACTGCCTATCTATACCATTTACCCACACTCACCCATTCATTATCATTCAACTGCTTCTGTCAAAAAAAAAGGAAAAGAAAAAAGAAGCAGTCATCCAACTCAAACTGTCAAAAAAGCTGAGAAAACAAACACTATAAAGTATTACATACTTTAAAAAGATAAGCCTATAACTCTGCAGGCATTTGCAAATGAGTTTCAATGAATTATCCTTTTTCAGAGGTGCTTCTTCGTGAGGATGTTCTCATTACTGACAGACTCCTCACTCTACTACAGGTTGTAGTTGGACCATCCCCGCTGGACTCTGTATACTACGCAAAGTTGGAGGGTCCGAGGTGGGTTACAGGATGGCCAAGGCTGTCCAGAGGAGCACTGGGATAAAACCTTAATGCTTACAATAACAGGCCAAAAGGCCAGGGACAGAGGAAAGAGGGCCAGAGCAAATGGTCCTGGAAATGCAAAGAGCTCCAGGGAACTTCATCCTTACTCATGAGGAGAGTGTGCGGTATCAAAAGTAGATCTGCTTGGCATGTGACGGATTCTGCTCCATGGGGCAGTACGGACATTTCAACCTGGGGACGAGAGAGCGGAGGGTGAGGAGAGCATGAACAGGATGTTACAGTTTGTGTTAGTTTAACAGACTACATGGGTTGTTTGGCTGATTAACTATAAATCTTGCACACTTTATATAGCTGGTCATCTTCTAGAATAAACATAGTTTTTGGGTTGATTTCTTAATTTTTTAGGAAGCCACTGGTTTCCAATCATTTCACCACAGTGCTGCAGGTTCAAAACACGATTGCTTGGCTGTGTTTTTTGACAAGTGTTACTTCCTAGAAACTGCAAATTCCATATTTTGAGAAGTCGCACACCCAAGTTTTTCAATGCAAGAAACGTGAATTTTAGCTATCTGTCTTCTAATATAACTTTAAATTACAATGCAATTATGTGCTTGTGTACATTACACTCCAGGCTTAACATGCACGCTTAAAAATAATTCCCAACGAATGAGCATGTAACATTTAAATTTTGTGATCCAAGATAATAACACATAATAATACGTTTTTTAGCCATTGTCTCACACACAACCTTATCCTGGCATCAATCAACCAGGCTGTATTGCCAACTTACTTCCCAGCATTAGTCAGTTTGTTGAGGGCATCTCTGGAGATGACGTGGCCACAGATGAGCTTCATGGGGGGGTTGCTCTCCGAGGTCTGCTGCCTGAGGATCGGGCAGGCGAACACAGAGTGGTACCAGCACTTCTTCCCGAGGTCGATTTCAATCTACGAGAACAAACATAATGTCAATCAACTGAATGGTGGAAAAGAATAAAAAAAGGAGTAATACATGGAGAAATTCAACGGTACTTACAGGCAGCTCGTCTTTGTGCGTCCAGACCCCGCTGCACTGTCTCTGCTCTATCACCTGCTTGATGTTCATCAGCACTGGCAAGGCCATACAGCCCGATGCAAAACTGCAGAGAAACAGACAGTTTGATTCATTTCGACTGTAGCTGAAATCTAAAAGCACAATAATAAAGGGTGTTTTAACCTCAACTTTCATATAAATGTAAAGCTTTTTCTGTGTTGTTCGTGGTTTTCTAACCTAACACTGAGCGGAGACTCTACAGAGAGGCCCAGTAAAGCGCAGGCATCCCTGGTGAAGATATTACAGATCTCAGCCCACTGATTTGTCTCCAGCAGGCCGCGGTATGGAGAGTTCTCTATGCCATGACGCAGGTACACAAGACTGCCCATCAGAATCTGAATATCTGCAGGGATAAAAAAAGTACAGGTTTGTCAAACAACAAACTGAACATTACATAAGTGTTGTGAAGTAGGCCTCATTTAATCAGGTATTTGCCTCAAGAACATTTCATCCGTTTGGTCAAATCCCAAATTGTTGTACGGACTCTGCTTAAAAGAGAGTCTTTGAAGTTAGGCTCGGTTAGGGGTTATTGTCTACCTCTCTGATGCTGAGAGGCGAAGGGCTGGAAGTGCCTGGCGTACTGCAGGGCCTCCATTTGGTTGCCGATTCCCCCACTGAGCAGGCTGATAAAGTACAAGCGGTGCAACTTGAATTCTAGACTGCTGTTCAGGTCCAAAAGGCGCTGCCGATTCGTTACAGCCCACCTAAGAAGGCACAGGCATGAATAAGTACAATGGACACAATACAGTTCTTTTAATCATCATTATGTGTTCAAACGTGAACTAGGCATGACCAAAGTAAAACTAATCTTAACAGAAATTCTCTCAAACTCAAACATATTTAGGAAGTTCGCCTCTAAGTGCTTTTAACTTAAGGCAGCTAAAATCTCTGTTGATGTGTGAAAACAGTCAAGTCACTTTATCCACTTCACAAAGATGTCGAGACACAAATAATAGTAAAAAGAAAGAAAACGTACTCTAGTGCCGGCCTGAGGTCCTGCATCCTCAGAGCTTCAAGAATTCTGTTCAGCTCCAGAAAAGGCTGCTTCATACTCATATCTATAACTACACCAGACTCCTAGGAAACAGAAAAGGGCATTAAGGATTATTAGGAATTAGGAATTGTTCCATTAATTATTCTGAAAGGAAACAAGGATTACACTGGATTTGAAGTGCCGTAATGTCGCCTTATCTTGAAGCCATCACAGTTTCTTACCTGACAAAGATCCTCTGCTACACTGAGCATCCCTTGTCTGTACAGGTGCTCCACAATGGTCTCACTCAGGTATTTCTGTCTCTCTGGGGTGTCCCACACTGTCTCTGCCACCACAGCACTGATCTCTGCATCGAAATTCTGCAGAGACGCATATCAGAGATTAAGTATATGTACGCCAACTGTTCAAATGGTACACAGCGCTGCTCCCGGTCCTTACCCTGTCGATGGCTTTGCCCACTTTCGACACACTGCCATGGATGTCCTTATGTCGGGAGGCGAGCATCTGCACTGTTTCTTTGATATTCTTACAACACTGTGCCATGGTCTGAGATAGGACTGATAGGTCTGCATCTTGTACTCCTGCAAGAAAGACAAAAGAAAAGGGCTTGTGTGAATTAAAACTACCACAAACATAAGATTAAATTCACTCAACTTGCAAATATTACACACATACATTCAGTCGCCTTAGGTGCATCGGTTTTTCTTACCAAAAGCAACTAGCTGTCCCCGTATCTCACAGACGCTGCGCAGGAGCTCGTCTAGCCTCTCCTCAGACTGGTGGCCGTACATTACAAAGCGATGGAGCACTTTCTCCAGCTCCCGCTCAACACATGCACACTGTTCCATGGTTCAGACGGGAACACTCACACACACGACAACAACACCTACATTTAAGAGAGAGAGAGAAACAGAACAAGAGAAAAATACAGGTCAGTGCCAGTGAACTATTATTGTATCCCATATAATAGATTTCTTGGCTGATAGCAATATTAGAGAGTTTTAAAACATTATAATAGCTATTATTATTTTCTCAATTAATCAGAAAATGTCAGAGAATGTTTTTTTATTTTCTATGGCCCAAAACCCAAAGATATAAGACACAGAAAAGCAGAAAAGCTGCACATTTGAGAAGCTGGAACAAGGTAATGTGATGTTATTTTGTTTGACAACAACATAAAACAATGAATAAATGTTTTTTAGACAGAATTACCAGTTGATCGACCAATCATTTCGTCTCTGTTTTCTTTTACACAAACACAAAGCAGAACAAATCGTTTTAATAAAGAATCCCATAAAATACATTTTTAACATTAATGTAACCCTCAGCGCTTTGTAACAGCAACATATTGATTTCTGAACTGCTAATTCTCGCTACCAATCAGCCACCAGACACACAGATACTGATATATTAGCTCATCTGATGTATTGATCAGGTTCACATAATAAATGGTTTTATTTTCTCTTTTCAGTGAACTCAGTCTGCGGATCTTTTGTAGCTTGCTACTGTGGATTCAACACAAAAGAAAAACCTACAAATGTGGATCCTGCATCTTTTTTTTTATTTGCTTTAATGTCACAAACCAGTTTCCTGCAGCATTCCCAGAGGTACATTGTTTTAAAAAGACATTTGACAGCAGGTGTAATCATTTTTTTGTGCTTTTTTTAAATCAAGAGAAGGTAAAAAACAAACGTACCCAGCTCTGTCCGGATTAAAAGTTTGCTCTGGTGTAAAACTGCTAACAAGTAGCTCGGCCTTTCCAGCATTAAACGCAGGCACACTGTGTACTCTGCGGCCTGCTGTTTACTAACGTCAGTCGCCACCAGCGGCTCAAACAAACACAAGTATAATTTAATCACCAGGCGACGAGAGGACATCGAGACTGGTGACTGTGTTTGAGCAGCTCGTCTGCATTCAGACACTATGACTTTCTTCACCAGCTGATACGTAAAGCTTTGCTGTAACTCGGTTATTGCAGACAGAAAATGTCCACCTGAGCTAGCTGGTAAACCGCGACAGACCTAACCAACATAAACACAACTCACTATCTCTATTTTAACCTTATATTCCATAATATCACGAACCAGCCAGGATGAATATGAAGCACTACGCATTTCGCTTCGATGCGGTGATTTAGAAGAATGAAGCTATTATAAACAAACCGTATCACAGTGACTGCTAGCAGCCAGGTTACTTTAGCTGACAAGGCCCAAATCATTTCAGGAGAGAATGACAACCCGCTTGTTTTCATTATTTTTGCACCACTCACACACTTTAAAAAAAAAAAAAACACCCGTCGCCGTTTAAAGTTAAACTCAAGATACGTTTAAATAAAACGCCACTCACCTATCTGCTAATTAGTTAGCAAACATTAGCGTTAGCCACTTGCCTGTTATGGCAACACTTCACCAGCAGTCGTAATGCGGATCTTCCTGTGTCGCATTCTGCGTTAACTGGGCCTTTCACAATAAAAGTCGTTTACTCTGCGACATCAGACACTGTGAGCTCTTCGTGCATTGTGTGATTTTCACTTTAATCGGATTTGTCTCTTGCACACGAAGCTGTCACAACACAGTAAAGATACTGAGGCATCACCATGTAAATTACAGTTTAATACAATGCAGGTTATGGTAGATAGATAGATAGATAG